CCCCCCCCCCCCCCCCCCCCCCCCCCCCCCCCCAGACTGAGGCCGGGCTGCTATAATGCCAGCTGACACTTGAAAGCATCGACAGACCCTGCAGAGGCCTGAAGGGTGTAATTGGTACCCAGGCCTCAGTCCTTGATGGTGAAGATGGGAGGAAATGCTACAGGCTGCTCAGCAGGGGGGGGGGGGACTGTCAATAACTCCAGTGGGGAGGGGGGGGTCCCTAGGGAGACCTGCTCAGATAAGGTGCGTATCATCGTCCTTTCTAACCGACAGCAGACTGAGAGTGGGGGTCCCACAGGCCGACCGACAGAGGGAGGGTCTCCTGGTGCGTTTTGAGGGTCGCTGGGCTGTGCTGGGTGTGCAGTGACAGTCTGCTGCCCCTGCCTGTTCTCCCCAGGCTCTGCCATCCAGAGATACGGGTGTGTGATTAAAAAAAAAATCAGTTTCCTCTGTATGCCTTCCTGCTAACTGTCCCAATTCTGGCACCTGCATGCCACAGGCCATTAAAACAGACTTAAAACGGATCAGCAGATAAAAATCGAGCGATTTGTTCTGGGTAAGTTGCACCGCTGTGTTTTCAGGTGTAGCTTTTATCTGGCTGATTACCTAAGATAACAGTCCATGGAGAAGCATGGGAGATAAACAGGGTCTACAAGGAGATGGTGGGTTGACTCTCTGGCTGCTTGGATGATATCCAGCTGATCCTCTGACCTTTCAATTTCTGTCCATGGCAAAATACACTGTATGTATATGCAGAGATGGATAGTTCAGGTCCAGAGAGTACAAGTTCAGACCAAGATTTTATTTCAAGCAACCAGTTGAGTACTCTGTGACCGTGACTCTTTATACTCAACTGGTTGGTTGAAACGAAATCTTGGTCTGGACTTTTACTTTCTGCACCTGAACTACCCACCTATGTAAGCTGGTATAATAGTGTCTCATAGTGCTATTTACTGTCGTAAATGGATGAGGAACAGCAAGGCCTCGTACGGCGAGTGCGGGGACCGGCCCAGACAGCCAAAGTTGCAGACCTCATCCAAAATGATCTAAGTAATGTTTCACAGTGGAGTCGTGACAAACGTGAAACGCCAGCTTTAATCTATCAACCATAGATTCAGCTCAATGACAATAACTCAGCCATATTGACTGGCTAAAGATTTCTGCTGTGTATTCATTAATGTCTTTGTGAGCCCCACACACCCCCCCCCGGAGCATTTGAAATGCTGATGACACATTTGTGCAGCACTGATTGCTTATTAGAAAGCTGATTTGTTGCTAGACCCCCCCCCCCCCACCCAAATGAGGCTCCTTCCTGCACTTGAAAGGTGTGTGGATTGGGGGAGGGGTGTTACGTTTGATGGTGATCTCTCAGCACGAAACACCAGGCTTTAACAGCTGTTTCAGAGCTCCGACCTGCCTGGCACGCCATCTTCAGAGTGGACATTGACGTAGCAAAGCCCTCCCCCCACAAAGTGAAATTGGGCAGTGATGTTCGCTAGGAGGGGGTTGCCTTGGGTTAAATCTTCCTAGGGCTTGGAGAGACCCTGGGTCCAACGGTAGCACTAGTGCCAAAGTACAGACACTGACAAACGCACAACGTGACCCTCTGTCACGTCACCCGAAAAACGAACAGCCTCAGAGCGCACACACATCGTTCGTGTCTGACATAATAAAAACATGACAATGTGTTTTCTTTTTCTTAAAAAAGAGGGGGCAGGTCACCCTGGAGTTAAAATAAATTTTCTATGAATTATGTGTCCCGCTTATGATGGAATGATAATCATCAGCTATGATTAACCATGGTAACAATAACAAGCAGTTCAGGGCTGGGGTCCCACCTCTCCCGCGACGCAAAGCTGCTATGTGAAACGTGCTTAAGGCCTCGCTATCACTTATCCTTCAAATCACTGCTGTTTTTTTCCATGTCTCCTCGTAATGTGGCCGTCTGTTGTTCTCCTGCCTGCGTTTGAGCCGAGTGCTTTTATGATGATGGATTATCAAAGGGAGCCACGCTGCACATCCTCTTCAGCGGGTGTTACAGTAAGCAATCCGATAGCCTTAATTAGACCTGCATGGTGGCCTTATTGAAAACATGACAGACGTTTGGTGTTGAAAAAAATTGGAGTCAACAGGGTCAGACATAAGTAACGACCATTAAATTAAAAGAAATCTATTATCCACTTTGACCCCTTAGCTTATTCAATTAATTACAAGAATCTATTTACACTGTATCACATAGAGCATTGGTCAGATGCTGGGAAATATGTCGAGATGGATTACGGCTCCTACTAAAGCGAGACCGGAGCAGAGAGAGGATCAGCGTTGGGGTGACCAGCCTAGTGGCTGAGGTCCACGGCCGGTGGGATCTGCCGTATTTCAGTTACTGATAAATTTACACCTGATGTGATACAATCCAAATGGTCATTTGCTTGAGGGCAGCCAGACAATTGTTGACCTGCCCTTTGCATCCCGACACTCGGGGCAGCTCTGTTGTCTCGAAAGGACTCTTTGACCACACCCACAAGCTGTCAGTCAATTCCTAAATATGAAGAATAATTTTCTATCGCTGCTTGTCCTTTTCAGGGTTGCGGGGGTCCGGAGCCTATCCTGGAAGTTACAGGCACAAGGCAGAGAATAAGTAAAGTCATTTTCAAGATTCTTAAACATTCTAACATGAAGGAAACACCCCAGGTTTGATTAGCAGTCACCTTTTGGCTAGAAGTAAAGTTCTATTCAGTTCATTTTTTAAAAATACAATCAAAGAATTTATAAGGATCATTGTAATTTTATTGAAATGTTATTGTGTTTATACCACACATACTACCATAATTGGTAACAATTCACTTTAACTGCACTTTCATGATGACTTTGTAATGCATCCACACAACATTCAGTGCACCTTCATAATGGATTCATAGAACACTCATAAGCAGCTTGTGTATATATATCTTAACATCCAAACATACCTTAAAGCTGTAACATTAAAAAGTAACAAATATATGATTATACAATTCTAATGTTTGTCATTACCATATGTTTGTTAATAATTTATATTAAAGTTGGTAAAGTATGTTAGGATGTTAAGGTATGCTTGCATGCCACTTATAAATGTTCTATGAATGCATAATGAATGCATTATAAAGGTGCAGTTAATGTAAAGTGTCGCCGAATAATTATAAAAATTAAGAAGCCCTCACTCTCTGCTGCCCCTAGTGTGTGAGATGTATATTACTTCCTTCCTGAAAGTTCCCGCCCAGTGGGTCCCAGGACAGGCTGCGAAGCGCAGCACCCTTAATAGGACAAGCAGACACTGAAGATGGCTTGGTGATGTCCACACAAGGGAGACGTTGAAGAAACATACTTATCCACAAAAAGCTTAAACAATGCTTTTCCCCTGGTATCTGTAAAATGGCACCTAATTAGTACAGAAAAGTACAAAAAGAAAAAAATGGACTAAAGGTTCAAGAAAAAGAACAAGAGCAAAAGCAAAATGATCAAAATAACATGATTCGGACCCAACTTTCCTGAACTTTGAACAAACTAAATATATGATTATGATTTATTACATGAAGACCTACAAAGTGAATCCAATGATTATCAGACTAAAACCCTCCCCAGCCATCTTCTATACTGCTCATCCAGTGCACTTGGAAAAGGGGGGGGCAGTGCAGTGCAGTGCAGTGGTTAGCACTGTTGCCTCACACCTCTGGGACCAGCATTCAAGTCTCCGCCATGGCTCCATGTGTGTGCATGTTCTCCCCGTGTCGTCATGGGGTTTCCTCCAGGTTCTCTGGTTTCCCCCCACAGTCCAAAAACATGCTGAGGTTAATTGGAGTTGCCAAATTGCCCGTAAGTGTATATGAGTGAATGTGCCCTGTGATGAGTTGACACCCCAGCCTGGGTTGTTCCCTGCCTTGTGCAAATCCCCTGTGACCCTGAATAGGACAAGTGTTTTCAGAAGATGGATATTCTGACAGGGGGGTTCAGCACAAACTGCAATGTGGGAAATATTCAAGGATTTAATTACAGTTTAATGGCAGAAACTATGATGGATATAAGAATACCTATGTTAGCCTTGAACAAGATCCTTCCTGCTGTGGTAGCCTTGATCTTTCAGAGTTCCTGCTAAATTAAATCACCTGTGCTAGCCCTGAGCGAGGTTCTTCCTGCTGTCATAGCCTTGGGCAAGGTTCTTCTGTGGTTTCCTTGATTTTACAGGTTTCCTGATACATAAGAACACCTGTCCTATCCTTGAGTGAGGTTCTTCATGCTGTGGTAGCCTTAATCTTTCAGAGTTCCTCCTAAATTTAAACACCTGTGCTAGCCCTGAGTGAGGTTCTTCCTGCTGTGATAGAATTGAGTGAAGTTTTTAACAGACTACCTGGCCTAACTGTGTTAAACTGTGTAAGTAAAGTGATAAATAACAGCAGTTACTGTAATTATGCAGGTGGAGAACACCCATTGGGTAAGTTTGGTTGCTATGGATGGTGTCCCAGCCACGTCACAGTGATCTGTGAGGCATCAGAGAAGACGGTGGTACTCACTGTTACTTACTTGAATGGCTTCTCCCCAGTGTGAGTGCGGATGTGGTTGTTAAGGGTGGTTGCCCCGGCGAATGCCCGGCCACAGTATCCGCATTTAAAGGGCCGGTCACTGGAGTGGGTCACCACGTGGTTACGCAGCTCGGACGGCTGGGAGAAGGACTGGGAGCAGTGGCCGCACTGGTAAGGCCTGTTGACACGAAGGGGGGTGGGATGACACAGGGCACCGGTTACCATGGCAGCGTGACCCTCGTTAAGAATGTTCCGGCGGAGATGTGGCCGTCCGTCAGTGGTGACAATGACATTCCTTTAACCTCAGCCCTCTCCTCCCTGCACATTAAAAGCCATAATGATCTCTCTTAATCCCAATTAGTCATGGAAAGGTGATGACAAACCACACATTTATCGATGATCAGAGGGCACAAAAGGAGGCACTTACGGGGGTAATTAGAGTAATTGACTATTCAGCTGAGCGCCATCAATCACATTATTTCTCCAATTAAATTAGCAAACCCACAAGGCCGAAATCATCAGTGTTTTTGTTTGCTATGCTGAACACAGCCGACGAAACAGCCTCTGACCCCCAGAGCAGCTAAAGATGGTGATTTAAAAAGAAACCTTGAAAGAAAAGCATAAATCAAGAAACACAGAGTCTTTAGTGAGGTATCCGGACTCAGGGTCAGTCCCTGTAGAAAGTGTTTCCAGAGGCATTAAGGGACAGACACACAGGTTAAATACACCATGTCTCATTCCTTAGGGCTCCAGGATTGGTTATTAATGTCTAATGATTAAATATGAAGCAATTAAAGAATTTCATAGCATATACAAAGTAGCGATTCTTTCATTCAGCCTCCTTACCTAATTTATTTGAATTATAACTATGCTACAGACTTCGCGGATATTTTCGGACATTTCTTTGCCGACTTCGCTATGATGCGGTGTGTATGATGTGTGTGGACTGTGAAGCACTGGCAGTGTCCGTTGAGAAAATGTATAAAATGTAACGTTTTTAAAATAGATGCATCTGACTGGTTGCATTTGAATTGCGCGTAATAATGATACTGTTCTGTGAGGATGTGCTCTTTTCTCTTTTTTTCCCCATCCCATTGAGACTGCTATGTCCTAGACCAAGACAAGACAGAGACCAAATGGAGTCGAGACCAAGACAAGACTGAGACCAAATAGAGTCGAGACCACGACAAGACCGAGACCACAAAAAATTGGTCTCGAGACCAAGACCGGTCTCGAGAACTACAGCACTACCAGCCACTGGTAAAAAAACTCACACTGTTCCACTTGGACTGGTGTGGTGCTGAGGTATCACCTGCTGCATGGCTGTGCTCAGGATCTCATCGCTGGGTTTGTGTGGTGGGTGTGGCTACATTCTGTCATCAGCACATGCTCCTTACCCCTCTCTCTCTTGGCAGAAATCAGATGTCGTTTGAAAGCCTTCACCGTTTGACCGCTACAGTTCAGCATCACGTGTAACTCCCGCACAGATCACATGTAAGTGAATTAGGGAGACCTCTGTTTATCAGAGCCTTTTTTCAAATGCAGGTCACTGCTCCTATGATTCAGACTATTTGTCTGGTGGATTTTCTGTGAAGCTGCTATTGACTGGGGTGCTTTTGAGTGATTAATGTGCGGATTCTGGTTATTACAGAGGCGATTGGTGATTAATGCCTGGTTATTGTTTATTACAGCAGAGAGCCCTGCAGCTACAGACTGGTGACAAGATGCTCCTTGGGTTCCAGTGGGCCACACATCAGCATGTACATAAACACACAGTGCAGAATATACAGCACAGACGCACAGAAAAGATACTGTACACCCACAGCACACACTCTACACACAGTGCAGTATATGCAGTACAGACACACAGAACAGACACTGTACACCCACAGCACACACTCTACACACAGTGCAGTATATGCAGTACAGACACACAGAACAGACACTGTACACCCACAGCACACACAGTGCAGTATATACAGTTCAGCATAAGAGAATATAAGTATGAAATCCAGTAAAATAAAATTCTCCATTGCTCATTTCAGTGAAGTTTTATTAGTTTCTAGTTAGTTCTTCTTTCACCTATCTGAACATACAGTAATAGGGATTGAGGTCATTCTCAGCCAATACTATTAGCACACCAGAATGTAACATACAGTATCTTCCGTACATATCACTATTAACTAAACGTAAAACATGTGATCTAACTGCCTTATCTCTGTAACCGTTTGACCATTAGGTTAACCATGACAGCATAATTATCTGGGTCACAATCAGGGATTTAATATTAGGGGTTACATACTGCAGTGTTTTGCCTTGTAATCTGAGACCTTAAATGAGCTGTGTAATCTCCATATTTCATTAAAGTCCTTATTCATTAGAATGACAATATCAATGCATAATCAATGATTTATTAAATTACTGTGCTGGAAATATTTACTCTAGGTATTGAGAGGTCTTGGTTTGTGTGTATTGATTAAAATACTAAATGTGACAAACACAATGGTGCCTCCCATTCACAAATTGTGGTAATTAAGAGAGCTAAAAAGAAATTACCACAGAGGACACCTTCATTACTAGCTGGCCCTCAGTACTGAATAGTCATATGGGCTTAGGCAGGAAGATTCTGAGATCCGTGTCAATATTTCCATGGACGGCTGGGATCCTTCAAGCCGTTAACTTAGAGATAAAAGTGACTACAGCTTAGAGCAGGGGTGGCCAATCTTATCCGCAAAGAGCCAGGGTGTATGCAAGGTTTTGGGATAACCTGTAGGTCAGCTGTACAAACCCAGGTGTGAGGACTCTTCAGCCAATCAGTCCTCTAATTAGTAATCTAATTAGGGAGTTGCAGCGAAAACCTGCATACACACCGGCCCTATGCGGATAAGATTGGCCACCCCTGGCTTAGAGTGTCTAAGTGTAGAGTGTGTCCTCATATATGTAGTGATGTCAGGATCCATTATAGGTCATTCAAGCACAGTGAAACTTCCCCAGCAGCCTGAGATGATCCTCTACACAGTGAAGCTTCCATAGCAGCCTGAGAGCTTCCTCTACATGCAGTGAAACCTCCATAGCAGCCTGAGATCTTCCTCTACATGCAGTGAAACCTCCCCAGCAGCCTGAGATGATCCTCTACACAGTGAAGCTTCCATAGCAGCCTGAGAGCTTCCTCTACATGCAGTGAAACCTCCATAGCAGCCTGAGATCTTCCTCTACATGCAGTGAAACCTCCCCAGCAGCCTGAGATGATCCTCTACACAGTGAAGCTTCCATAGCAGCCTGAGAGCTTCCTCTACATGCAGTGAAACCTCCATAGCAGCCTGAGATCTTCCTCTACATGCAGTGAAACCTCCCCAGCAGCCTGAGATGATCCTCTACACAGTAAAACCACCTATGCAGCCTTGGATGTTCCGCTGCACAGTGAAATTTCCAGAGCAGCCTGAGATGTCCCTCTACATGCAGTGAAACCTCCAAAGCAGCTGAGATGTTCATCCACCTGCAGTGAAACATCCTCAGCAGCCCGAGATACTCCTCTATCCACAGTAAACCCTCCACAGCAGCTGAGATGTTTGTCTACCTGCAGTGAAACATTCTCAGCAGCCTGAGATATTCCTCTATCCACACTGAAACCACCACAGCAGCCTGAGATGTTCTTCTATGCACAGTAAAACCTCCACAGCAGTCTCAGATGTTTCTCTACACCGTGAAACCTCCACTGCAGCCTGAGGTGTTCGTCAACGTGCAGTAAAACCTCCACAGCAGCCTGACATGTTCCTCTACAGACAGTGAAACCTCCACAACAGCCTGAGATGTCCCTCTATACATAGTGAAACCTCCACAGCAGCCTGAGATGCTCCACTACACACAGTGAAACCTCTATATAATTAAACCTGCACAGCAGCTTGAGATTTCTCGATATGAACCTCACAGAATGTGATTTCCTCAGTCAAATAGACCAGGCAGTGAATCAGCTGACCTCTCCATGGTCCTGAGGCAGGAGGAATGTGCTTTTCATTATGAGCCCAACGTGGCGTGAGAACATGAGGCCTCGCCAGCAGACCTGAGCTGAGCACTTGACAGGCCACTCCTCATTCGCCACGTGAATATGCATACACTCATCTGTATTGGCTTGCGAGGCCTGATCTGAAAGCCAGAGGTTTCACTCAAGTTAAATCCCAGTAGGATCACTCCAATACTCCTCTTAATGGGATTTCGAACCAGTCAGTGACCACCAATTTAGCAGTGTCAAAACACCTGTGTTTTACTGCATGAGCATCTATTGTACACTACAGCATCTAGATTTCAGGTACAGACATCAATAAGGTAAAACCCAGTATTGGTTACTACAGGGATAATGGGTAAGGGCATAGGGGCTGTAAGTACAGGTAGGGTTGATGGTATAGGACAGGGGTGGCCAGTCTTATCCAGAAAGGGCCGGTGTGGGTGCAGGTTTTTGGGATAACCTCTAGGTCAGCTGTTGAAACCCAGGTGTGAGGACTCCTCAGCCAACCAGTCCTCTAATCAGTAATATAACTAGGGAGCTGCAGTGAAAACCCGCACACACAGCGGCCCTTTGCGGATAAGATTGCCCACCCCTGGTATAGTAGGTATTATGGTAACTGTGAAAAAACACATTTTTACCAAAAAGCACGTAAATAATATTAATTATTATAATACTAACAGGGGTGGCGTGCTGACCTCCCACCTGCAGGGGTTTTATAGACTTTCCATATATTCCCATATATTCCATATTCCATATACTCCCATATACTCCATATTCCATATACTCCCATATACTCCATATTCCATATACTCCCTGTGTCCATGTGGTTTTCCACCAGCTACTCCGGGTTCCTCCTGCACCTTTTCCACTAACTTAACGGCCATCTACCGCAGCAAGGACGTCAGTCTTTTAGCAACATCTGCAAACCCATCAGGGAAGCCTCCCAAGATCAGGGTCTCCATAGTGGCACTCAAGCTGTCCTTATAGCCACACTCAGCTTGGGCTGCAATGGTTACTCTCCCATTGAACAGAGTAATTGGATTAAATAAGTTCACCTAGAAAGTAGGTAATGTATCCGTGTGGAGGAGACCCTGGGTTCGTGCCCAAAATTCGAGCGGCTGAATATAGTCACTACTCTCCCGGATCTTCAGCTTCTTTACTAGCTTGGCTGGTATCAACGGACCCTCTACCCAACATTTTAAAGTCCTTATCAGCAGGTTTCTGTTTTGAAGACCAGCAGATAATGGCAGCAGGACCCCTGAGGACAAGGCTTGCTCACCTCTGATTAAGAACATTGAAACATTCATTACTGAGGAGGAGTGCCTTCTGGTTACTATGCCCAGATGGTTCTGCAGTGATCGTGTCTCAGAGGAGTCGACCCCAGCCGATAGTCAGGGAAATAAACATGTTCTTGAACATTTACATGGAGCTTCAGTACAACACAAAGGAATCAACCCTCATCAATGCATGCCAAACTTTCTTAACACTTGCGTGCCTGTTCCCAAACATTTATAACATTTGTGTGTTTGTTCCCAAACCTTCATAACGCTAGTGCACGTCCCCAAACCTTCATAATGCTTGTGCACATGTTCCCAAATGCTCATCACTGCACATGTGCATGTTACTGACCCTCATTAATCTATGTTTGCATGTGATCAGTGTCCCCCTGTACTCCATTACACTTTCTGTAGAATGATTGCGTAAGAAGGGATCCCATGTTCACCCCCCCAAGAGCGTCTTAGTGGGGAATTCCACAGGAAATATCTCCTTTAGTGATGCCACTGGAACTCCTCTGTCCCTGACTGCACTTATAAACTCTGCATCAATGAGCATGCATAAGCAGAAATGCCAAACAACCTGTTACGCCCAACTCGTCCGATCCTCGTGTGTGCCACGCCCACCTCGTTACCTCGTGTTAATTCCCGATTGTCATCACCTGTTTCCTGTTCCTCTTGGCTTGTCCTGTGTATTTAGTCCGCGTCTGAATTAGTCTTCCCAGATAAGCATTGTATTGTTTAATGTTCGTCGCCTGTCTGCCCCGATTAAACCCCGTATTTCTGAAGTTACGGCTCTCTCGCCTACTTCCTCGTTCGCCCGTCCGCCAAACGTAACACAACATAGTGTAGAATATTTTAATACAGATATATTAGACTATTTACTGGGTGTAGAAACTGTTCTTCCAAATATCCAGACCTCAATTCCCTTGTTCAGCTGAATTTGATCTGCACCCCAGAGCCATAAAGTTGGATATTGACAAACCCTCACATTGACTTCAACTCCTCAGTATCCAGGCAACATTTTTCTTCTGTATGAATATTAGTTTATTGAATAAGTGGCATGTGTTTTCCTCCACATCACAGTTGGGGTGGGTATTTCTCTGAAGAAAAACAGCACTAAGCAGAAATTTCCAATATATCCCCCAACATATTTAATTAAGTTTGGAGATGTTACATACTGCATCCGAGCCATAAAAGCAGGGTGACAGTGGGAGATCACACTGACACTAATTTCATTGGTTTAGAGGAAAATGACCATGTCGGGTGCTTGTGTGTGCGTTTCTGTGTGTGCATTTCCTGCACTTTATTATGAACAAGCTTTGACTTATATCCAAATAATAAAATTAATCATAAGAAAACAGCCACTGGGAATTATTGTCAGAGTTAGTGCTGTGACAGACACCGTACCTTGTCGTTTACTGATGTTAACACTGCTCTCTGCTACTCAATAATAAACACTCCTGCTCACTGCTACTCATTGATAATCACTCCTGCTCACTACTACTCACTAATGATCACTCCTGTTCAGTGATGTTTACTGATGATCACTCCCATTCACTGCTATTCACTGATCATTCCTGTGCACTGCAATTCACTTATGATCACACCCATTCACTACTACTCACTCATAAGTACTCCTGGTCACTGCTGTTCACTGATGAATACTCTTATTCACTGATTAATGCTTCGTGACTTGCCATCCCCTAAATGCACCACAAACCTATTCTACTGTAATAGCATCAAATGCTAAATACCATAGTCTTTGTCTCCTTGTGCAAATAGAAATAGTGTCTGTACAATAAAACTTCCAAGCATTAGTATGCTGGAAACCTTGTTCGTGGATTATGTAAACAATCTAGATTTTTCTATTGAAGAGAATCTATGACAACCAATATTTAAATTAATTACATATTTTTAATTACCCAGCAGATCTTTGAGATGACAGCCAGATTTAAAAGATTTCTGTTCAAACTCTATTCCCCACGAGCTTGATGTTGTGTGTGAAATCTTGCCAGTTTCTCTACTAATGGTGCAGCAATTATAAGGCATTGTGAGCTGAATAAATGACACATCTGCAGTTTTTGTCACTCAATGATGTCATTATAGTTCTAAAGGTCTTGTTTTGAAAAATGACATCCATAATGACTGCATCAGACCTAAATACAGACGCTCCTCTACTTACAAACGAGTTACGTTCTGAATGGCCGTTCGTAACTTGAAATGTTCGTAAGTTGTTATTCAACATCATGTATTTGCAAGTACAAAGAAGTAGGATGCTGGGAGTATGAATGCTACACTGTTGTGCGGCGGGAGTAGCGGCCAGAAGTCGTACTAGGCGGAATTGGCGCGCAGAAAAAAAAATGATGTTGCGGACAGGAAACGGGAGCCCAACTAACACAATTTGGACAGTCCTCTTCGTCCGTATGTCTGAAAGTTTGTAAGTAGAGGAGTGTCTGTTTAAAGGTGAGTTGGCTGATACACAGGCATTATTTACATTTAAAGTGTGAATGCCTTGTTTAACGTTTACTCCATAAAGGTGGGTTTTGTTTTTTGAATCTTTTCTTTTGTTGTTGATTTTATGATCCCTTCTGAGAGTCCAAAGATTCACCCCATACCTCGATAACCAAATTCATTACAACTGATTATTTAAATTGTATATAAGTAGCCATTGTGACTGTTTGTGCTACGAATGCTCTGAGACAAGTCGCACTGATGAATTACAAATGCATACAAACAAGAACACAAAGCAAAACAAAGACGAAAGGGTCAGAGTAAAGCTTCATTATGATGATGATATGACTGTCAACATGTCTGTCAACACAGCTGTCAATGTCTGTCAACACATTTGTCACCTCGACTGTCAACACGGCTGTCAATGTCTGTCAACACATTTGTCACCTCGACTGTCAACACG